ATATATATATATATATATATATATATATATATATATATATATATATAAATGTGTGTGTGTATACATATATATACATACATATATGTATTTTGTATGTATATCCCACTTTGAGTCAATTCTGATTAAATGAGGTATCAGCATCCCCTGACCCCTATTTTCGTCTCCATTTCCTCTCCATTGTAAAATCTTTTCCTTGCTTGCCTCTTGAATGTGAGTAAATTTTCCCAATTCTACCTTTTCTTTTCCCCTTCTCTAAGTGCATCCCTCTTCCTCACCCCTTCATTTTTTGGGGGAGATCATTCCAACATGATTGACTGAGATCTATATCCTCTGTATGTAAAATTTGAACTGCCCTAATAATGATGAAGTTCTTAGGCATTACTTCTACCATCTTCCTATATAGGAATGTGAACAGTTTAACTTTATTGAGACTCTTAGGATTAGTTTCTTAATTTTTTTTTACGTTTTTATGCTTCTCTTGAGTCCTGTGCTTTATATCAAAATTTCTATTCAACTCTGATGTTTTCATCAGGAATGCTTGAAAGTTCTCCAATTCATTAACTATACAGTTCCCCCCTGAAATATTATACTCAGCTTTGCTCAGCAGATTATTCTTGGTTATAATCCTAGCTCACTAGCCTTCCAGAAGATTATATTCCAAGGCCTCTCTCTGCTCCTTTAATGTGGAAGCCACTAAATCTTTTGTTATCCCATCTGTAGCCAATACCTGATTTCTTTCTTTCTGGTTGGTTGAAGTATTTTCTCTTTGACTTGTGAGCTCTGGAATTTGGTTATAATATTCCTGTGAGTATTCATTTCATTTTGGGATCTCTTCCCACAGGTTACTAATGGATTATTTCACTTTCTTGAAATGAAATCTAGGTGCCTTCTTTGATCATGACTTTCCAGTAGTCTAAAAATTCTTACATTATCTCTGCTTGATTGGTTTAACATATACATAACCTCCAAAAGTGAGTGGCATATAACCTATGAAGAGTGAGTTTCATGGGAGTTTATTACAAGTGTGTCAAGGTAGAAATGTTGAAAATTATGGTGACTCCCTTTGTTCCCCTCCCTGCTTATCAATCAGTGTTGGAGGAGGCTTTGTAATTGGTATCACTTGCCTCCTCAGTGAGTAGGAGAGGATTTGGGATAAAGAAAAAAGTATTCAAACTTAAATTTTAAAAATAAAAGAATACAAATAAATAATAAATTGAAAAAAATTGTAGTTACATTGCCGAGTTCTTACGAAAAACTTTTGCATTGAAATTCATGAATGGAATTGGTTTATAATTCTCTTTCTATGCTTTTTCCTTCTTGGTTTCAGTATATCTACTCTATCTCCTTTCTGCTCTGATAATTTATTTTGTTATAGAGGTGACATTGTTTTTTGAAGGTTTTATGAGCAGGATTTAAGTTCTGGAATATCATACCAAGGCACTGAGGATTTGACTATATACCAGTGATGGATTGTGTGCCTGCCCATTTGGATTAGCCAAGATTAGGATGAGGAAGCTCACTGCTACAGGATTAGCTAACCAGAAGTGAATTTTCTGGTCAGAGCAGTTTTTTTTATTTAATTTTATTCTGAACTTAAAAAAATAAACTAGAAGGGGATCCTGAGCCCCAGGTTGGTGGAGCAGGCAAATGCAAACACCAGGTCTCCCCCATGCCTTAGCCTAGCCAGGGCAACTGGCAGACTCTGGCTCTGAGAAATATTACATTCTTCCGCACAACCCAGAGAAAACAGACATCCTCCAGGAATCAGACTTCCACTGCTTCAGTGTAGCCCCAGTAAAATGCAGAAAAACCCCACCAGGCCTTAGCACACACAAGACACCACCACTGGGACCCCAGCTTAGCACCAGGTAGGATGTCAGACCTACAACCTTCAGCAGTGCCATACACACCTACCACTCAACCTCAATATAGCACTAGACACGAGGTTCCCCCATGGACCTCAGGACAACATCAGTGCAACACCAGGTGAACAGCTGGGGCATGCAACCAAAGGAACCAGAAGCCTGAGACAGACACCCTGCCACCTTGGGAGCAGAGCTCAAATTTAAAAGAAAGGAAAATGGCCAGAAAGATCAGCAAAAAACAACAACAAAAAAGAATCTGATCATAGAATGTTATTATGGTGACAGGGAAGACCAAGACACAAACTTAGAAGAGGGCAACAATGTCAAAACACCAACTATTGAACTAATAAGTAAAACTAAGAGCTGGTTTTATGAAAAAAAAAACAATAATATAGACAAAACTGGTTAATTTGATTTAAAAAAAGAAAGAGGAAAACCAAATTACCAGCATCAAAAGTAAAAAGGGCGAATTCATCACAAAGGAAGAGGAAGTCAATATAATAAGTAGGAGCTATTTTGCCAAACTTTATGCAAATAAATTTGACAATCTTCGTGAAATGGATGAATATTTACAAAAATATAAATTGCCCAGATTAACAAAAGAGGAAATAAACTACTTACATAACCTCATTTCAGAAAAAGAAATTGAACAAGTCATCAATGAATGTCCTATGAAAAAATCTCCAGAGCTAAATGGATTTAAAAGTGAGTTGTATCAAAGATTTAAAGAACAATTATTTCCAATACTATATAAACTATTTGGGAAAATAGACAAGGAAGGAGTCCTATCAAATTCTTTTTATGATACAAATATAGTGCTGATACCTAAACTGGGAAAAGCCAATACAGAAAAAGAAAATTATAGACCAATTTTCCTAATGAATATAGATGGAAAAATTTAAGTAAGATATTAGCAAAGAGATAGCTTATCTCAAGAATAATACACTATGACCAGGTAGGATTTATACCAGGAATGCAGGGCTAATTCAATATTAGGAAAACTATTACCATAATTGACCATATCAATAACAAAATGTACAGAAATCATACGATTATCTCAATAGATGCAGAAAAAACATTTGACAAAATACAACACACATTCCTATTAAAAACAGTAGAGAGCTTAGGAATAAATTGAGTCTTCCTTAAAATGATAAGCAGCATCTACCTAAAACCTTCAGGAAGCATTATATGTAATGGGGATAAGCCAGAAGTATTTCCAATGAGATAACAGGTGAAACAAGGATGTCCATTATCACCACTGTTATTCAATATGGTATTATAAACTTTAGCTTTAGGAATAAGAGAAGAAAAATAAATTGAAGTAATTAGAACAGGCAAAGAAGAATCAAAGCTATTGCTCTTTGCAGATGATATGATGGTATAGTTAGAGACTCCTAGAGAATCAAGTTAAAAATTGCTTGAAATAATAAATTTAGCAAAGTTTCAGGAAATAAAATAAACCCACATAAATTATAGGCATTGCTATATATTACAAATAAAGCCCAGCAAAAGGATATAGAAAGAAAAATTCCATTTAAAGTTGCAGAAGATATTGTAAAATATTTAGGAGTCTACCTGCCAAAACAAACTGAGGAACTATATGAACACAGTTACAAAACACTTTTCACACAAATAAAGTCAAATCTAAATAATTGGAAAAATATCAGCTGCTCATGGGTGGGTTGAGCTAATATAATAAAAATGACAATTCTACCTAAATTAGTTTACTAATTCAGTGCCATACCAAACTGCCAAAATTATTTTATATAGTTAGAAAAAAAAACAGTAACAAAATTCATCTGGAAGAACAAAATGTCCAGAATACCAAGGGAATTAATGAAAACAAATATGATGGAAGGTGGCCTAGCTGTACCAGATCTTAATCTTAATCAACAATCATCAAAACTACTTGGTAATAGCTAAGAAATAGAGTGGTGGATCAGTCTAATAGATTAGGCACACAAGACACAACAGTCAATGACTATTGCAATCTACAATTTCATAAACCCTAAGACTCTAGCTTCTGGGATAAGAACTCACTATTTAACAAAAATTGCTGCAAAAACTGGAAAAGTGTATGGCAGAAACTAGGCATAGACCAATACCTTACACCCTATATAAGACAAAGTCCAAATGGGTACATGATTTAGATGTAAAGGTTGATACTATAAACCAACTAGGAGAGCAAAGAATAATTTGCCTGTCAGATCAATGGAGAAGGGAAGAATTTATGATGAAACAAGAGATAGAAAACATAATGAAATGCAAAATTCCTGATTTTGATTACATTAAATTGAAATGTTTTTGCACAAACAAAGCCAATGCAACTAAGATTAGAAGGGAAGCAGAAAGCTGGGAAACAATTTTTATTTATATATTGTATAGCCAAAGGGCTATAAAACTGCATTCCCTTTACCCAGCAATGTCATTTCTAGGTCTGAATCCCAAATAGATCATACAAATGGGAAAAGGACGCACATGTTCAAAAATATTTCTATCAGTACTATTTGTGGTGGCAAAGAATTGGAAATTGAGGGGATGTCCATAAATTGGGTATTGCCTGAACAAATTGTAGCATATGAAGGTAATGGAATACTATTTTGCTGTAAGAAATGATGAACAGGCAGACTTCAGAAAAATATGGAAAGTCTTGTGTGGTCTGATGCTGAGTGAAGTGAGCAGAACCAGGAGAACATTGTACATGGTAACACCCACATTTTGCAATGATTGTCTTTGACAGACTTAGCCCTTTTCTGCAATGCAAGGATGTAAATCAGTCCCAAAAGACTCATGATGGAAAGTGCTATCCACATATAGAAAAAAAAAACCTTTTGAATCTGAATGCAGATGGAAACATAGTATTTACTCTTCTT